CACACACACACACACACACACACACACACACACACACACACACACACACCTTGTGATTATAGCAATTTATAGATACGACATTACTGATTATCAAATAATAAATACATACCACGATCTGCCTTCTTCTTAATGGCACAACCGCCCTTCTTCTTTGGAGAATTTGCGTGCAAGGTCCGCAGTCTGAATGGAGAGCAAAATGAAGCAGTGTTAGACGCCGACAATACTCTTCATCTTTTTGCATTAGACACAAGAATAACTGGATGTGCGGGGGTGCAACATGTCTGCCACCACATCACATATCGGAGAACATCAGAACAATAGACTAAAATACAACATCAACTGCAAGCGGGGATGCACATCGTGTTGCGACTGGAATACACTTTACAAAATCCAGATCGACTTAAATTAAAACGGCTATCGTCTGCAGAAGCAATGCAGAGATCCGTTTAGTGCAGAGAGCTACACAAGACTTGCTATTTAGCGTCGGTCCACGCTGCAGCCCGCATCTGCCCCTCACCTTTATCGACAAAACCATCTCCGGCGTGGCTGTGTCCTCCGCCTCCAGCGCGATCTGCAGGTCGAAGATGTAGTCGATGACGTGTTGCAGGATCTCCACCTGGCTGACCGACTTGTTCTGCGGGATGCTCGGCACCAGCTCCTTCAGCTTGGAGTAGCAGTCGTTCATGTCGCACAGGGCGCCCACCGGCTCCTCCAGACACGAGTGTTTATTCCGGTTGATGGCGAGACTCTGCTCCGAAATGCAGCACACGGCCTTGTAGCAGCTCCTCACCGAGCGGACGGGACTGATGGCTTTCATGATGAATACAGAAACAACAACAACAAGACTCGGCTTGACGATTAAGTGTGAGTTTTTGAAGGTTTTCCTCCTATTGGGGTCTTCTTTTATGGCTGTCCTGAAACGTTACAGTGCTCTGACAGCGACGTACGCTTAGGTCTTTATACACTAGGCGCTTGCTGACCGCCCCTTTCTCGCATCGTGCTCTGATTGGCCCTTGAAAGCAGCAAGCCAATTCTCATTGGCTGATATCACCTTGTGGAAGGGCTGGAAAGAATGAGGAAATTAGGGCTGGGATGCCTAGAGGGGATTGTCAATCAATTAGTCGCCTCTTCCAGGTGGTGCTATTTGTTTGAAATAGACAGAAAGAAGTTCTCAAAGTGGGGCACGTTACACGTTTTGAAGAATCTCCAGTAAAAAGAGGAATACTTTTAGTTTACAACAAGCCAACTGAACTATAGAAGCAACTGCAAGGAAAGATGGACGTTTTAATTCTAGATTTTACCACAGTTTCTGTCTCACTTTTATTAAAAGCTATAATTACAGACGAATACACGTCTCCTCAAATAAAGATACTTGAATGTTGGATAATCATGCATCATAGTTTTGCTGTAAATCCTTCATGAAGTTTGACTGCATGTCTGTCAAGACACTGAAAACACTTAATCAAAACTATATAGACAGTTATTATGATAGTCTCTTGTACAATAGGTGTTTAAGCAATGTGTGTGCTTGCTTTAGGACTCACTAAGTGCATCCACAAATAAAAATGTTGAAAATAGGATTTTTATATAATATAGGTAAAAGGTCAGAGGAAGGCCAGGTTCTTTTCTACATTAGTAAATTGCTAAGAACAGCTTATTGTGATGATTGGTCATTGGATGTGGATTTATTGACTGATTATTTATGTTTTGATAGTTTAAAGTCCGTCTCTTATAGCCCATATGCCTCAATGATGAACAATAATTTAACCAAAGAATTCAAGAATTCAACAAAGAATATTAAGGTGTGCTTAATCCGTGCAGTCACTTAAAAAACTGCTAAAATCAAACCCTCTTTTAAGGAGAAACAGCTTTATGAAAATTATATTTTAACAACTCCAAATGTTGCTCCGTTTTAGTTTACATCAAAGCACGTCCCGTTCTGCTCCTATTTGGGTCTTATTTTCCCCTTTTCTCACAATCCTGTTTTGTAGAGGAATGCAGGCCTGAGCCAGCTGTGTGTCCTATCCCAGCCCAGCTGTGTTGATCTAACGCGCCAGTCCCAGACATGCTGGCGCCAGCCTCCCGACGTCATCCATTCACCCCAACGCGCACTCCCCTTTGGCAGACGGCCCTCCCTCCCCCGTCCAGCACCAGAGGGGAGAGAAGCACAGGCGCTCAGAGATCCGATTGGATGACCGAGCCTGTCAGTCACGGACACAAATCCACGCCCCCACGCTTCCCTCCTCCCATATGCAGTTGTACTCAGAGAAAGTTTGAGGAAAACCTTTTTTAATTCTCCATAATTGTGCAATGATGAATACGCCAACATGGCCTGGAGACGAAGCTCGTGATGAAAAGTATCAGGAAAGCAGTCGACATGAGATCATAATTAAAGACAGGACAAACCCATGTCTAACTCTAAGCTGTGAAGTAATGTCATTTTGCTTGTACAGTAGTTAGAAAAAGTAGTTGCTCAACGGTCCGTGGGTGCCAGGATGTTGGCCTGTGTTCACCAAAACATTTTACAAACGTCTGACCAACTCTGAACTGAGCAACTATCAATTTTAGGTTAAATGGTAGGCTATTATAATTATGTCAAATTGTATATTATGTAACCTCACATGCAACAAAGAGTTGATTAAATAAAAGAGTTGATTAAATATAACACTATTTTAAGACGATGAGCAATTACACTATGCGTTGTTATCTTCATTTTGGGCACGGCTGGAGATATCCTCCCCATTATGCAGAGGTTTAAAACATGTTCAAGTCACTGTCTTTCTCCTGGCAATCAACCCCCCCCCCCCCACAACTGTTGACCCTGTATGATGAGTCACTCACTTTAGAGCAAACCACAATATTGAACCGTGAGACAGGACTTCAGTCCAGTGCTGTTCTAAAGATATATTATGCGAGCGGTGCAGAGTATCCAAACAAGACTTTGACCGTAAATATCTTTTTTAAAGATGTCAAGGGGAAGTCAAATATTGCAGTAAATTTCCCAGGTCTGGTGGGAAAATAATTGTTCATATATTTGCTGATTTAGCAAACTGGGCTTGATGGCAAATCAGTTTTGGGATTAAAGACCTCCATGTTGAGTCGACGCAAACATTATCCCATTTGATTTCGATGATCCAAAGAAAGCACCGCCCCTGATTCCCTAGTTATTTCTAGGAATAGGAGCTATTTCTAGGATATCAAAAATGCCAACAGAGTATTTTTCTCCCATGACAGAGCTTGTCTGCAGATTCCAGAGTTTTCAGTGCGTAAAATCTGTGTGAAACACCCACACAAACACACACACACACACACACACACACCCTGTCTCTCACTCTCGCTCTCTGTCTCTCTCTCTCACACACACACACACACACACACACACACACACACAGTAGTGTGTCTGGGCAAGGATCAGGTGCTTGTCGGAAAGGCCCCGGACACAATCGGGTCTCTCTTTCAATGGATGGGAGAATTCCGAGCCTGGCGTCAGTGAGTCTGCCTCTCTCCCCGCCCTCCCTCTCCCTCTCCCCGCTCCTCCGTGCAGCTGGACGCAGACAATCAAGCCATCAACAATCGCCATGCATAATTAGCAGCGCCCCTTCTCTCTCCTCTTCTAAGACTTCTCTCTCTCAATTAAATTTTCAATCCGGTGTATTTTATTGACAGCCAAATACTAAGGTAAAAAAAAAAATATATATATAATTCTCAGCCTCCACATCTGTTTCAACTCTATGACTGAATGTGTTTCCACAGGGTCTAGAGCTCACCTTTTCACTCATCTTTACCTCTCAACATAAACAAAGTGTCTCTTTCTACTTCTGGTAACAACAGAACAGAGTGTAGAGTAATGAGAGTCATCTTGTGAGATGAGACGGAAGGAGGGAGGGAAACCACCATACTGCCATGTGGAGAGGCAGTGTTGTATACAGAAGGGTATCTTTTTCATCCACAAGTGCAGGCCCATCTTGGCGGGGATAATTAAGTGGCAAGAAACACACTGAAACTTAATTCTTTGTATCCCTGGTGTGTGTCGTGCAGGATTCCTCCTCCTCCTCCTAGTCCTCCTCCTCTGCTCCCTGTTTTCACTCTGTCCTTCATCAAAGACGCTACAGTCTTCTCCGTCGGCTTTGAACAGCCTACAGATCCAGAAATTTTGTCACTAGTGACCCGGGCGGCGACATGACATTTAATGCACATTGTTGATTTGTACTGGTCACTTGGTATTTATCTTTGAGTCTCTTGTTCAAGCTTGTGCATAATGATATTGCCTAGTTTTTAGATGAGAGGATGCCCAATGTATTACAAAAGAAACTTGCCCACGCACTTCATTCATTGATTCATTCACTCAGCCAACATGGGCCCATTGTGGCTGTTAAGAAGCACTGCAAACTCTATACAACAGGATTGAGCGGCCTCTTATGTCTATGACACTGTGGCTGTTTGGTTAACACTCAAATATAAGGTATCTTGGTTGAGCCAGATCTAAAAACAGGTGTGATTGAATCCATTTCAAACATATGGGGATCTAACAGACCAAATCTGGTGCGGACAAAATCTAAACATAATACTTAAAAACATTGCTTTGTGACAACACATTTTTGACAGAAAGTCTCCATTATAATCTGTCGGGTTTGAAAGGTGTGGGTATGTATTTTTGCCAGACAAGGAACATTATAACAGAGATGCTCTAGTTGCATCATGGGAATTGTAGGATTTCTGGAACCAAGGAGTAAGAATCGCAGGTGTGAGCAAATGTCCGTTCCAACTGTATCTAAATACAATTTGGATGTGAACAGAAAGGGTGACCGAGACATCTGTATCTTTGTTTTGCGACTAATTAGTAATCACTTAAAATGTATGGTAGAGTAAACAAAAGCAATTTGTGGAAAAGAAGATGTTCCATTAAACACAGCCTGCTGTGATAATGGCGGTAATGGAAATTGGTAATGTGGTGCTTGGAGGTACAACGCACCTTAAACCATAATACAACAGAAGTCAGTGACATAAGGCAATAGTTTTACACCACTGGCGCTGTCCATTGCGAGAATTTTGGTGTTGTCATTATCATATTGTCAGGTGGCCCTGTTTATGTCCTTGGCGGTGAATTTTTTACAGTAATATGACCTCCATTTATTCCACACACAACTGAATTGCAGGTGGGACACAAGCCACAGAAGGCCATAAAGCCCATGGCCACTAAATAGGGCCAAAACAAGCCGACTGTAATGTTCAGTGTGGTGGGCCGAGAGGCTGCCAGCTGTTGGTCATACCATTGTTTTGTCGTCTTCATCGTCCCTGACTGGAACAGTCCGTTTATTCCGGCAGCCATCCAATGAAGATAAACATCTGGCTTTGTGTAAGCATAGTAAAGGCCAGACTCGCTGATCATGGGGCCAGTTGGTGTAGGTGATGGTGAACTGATTAGTCATAAAACCTTACATCATTCCTCTCAAACAACTTGGAACAGGTTAACAATCTGAATTGTAAATGATCACTTTTGATTATTTACTTATTCAGGAGAGACATTGCTGCCGATTTCAGCCTGCACAACAGACTGTCAAGCAGTCAGAGTGATTATTTACAGCCACTCAAGAGCTGACAGTGAACTTGCTGCTGTAGTCCTCCACTGGATGACCATTAATGGAAGCACTGCAAGCCCCAATTTTCTCCTTCTAAAAACCATTCCTGTTTTCAAACCAGCAAGTAAACACCAAAATGAGTGTCTGCAGTGTGCTAGTCATCTCCACCTTGCCAGGGAAGAGAGAGTCTGGTCCACATCCAGTCTTGATCTTTCAGTACGAAGCTACATCTTTAAGCCTTAACCCAAATCAAGACCATGCCACAATTTGCAGATGACTACCAGATGATAACCATGATAATTAAATACTCTTGAGTAATTGCTATTCTTACTGTTGTTTTGCGAGTGGGACATTTGTGGTGAATACACTCTAAACTCGCTCGAACTAGAAGTTTGACCTTGTAATTATGGACTGTTTGGGTCTTTTTTTTTTGTGAGACCCCACACAGAGCATGACTTGTACATAAACACACCAAAAGTGTTTGAGAGTAGGATCCAAATCCCTTCTTACACTTTCATGCCTCCAAATGAAGTCAATTTCGGATGCTAAACTGCTCTTGAAAATAATGCCGGGAGAAAATGTAAGTACTCAGACTGCAGCTTGATCAGTTGGTTTAATAAACACAAGCTAGATGGAGGAGAAGGCTGCAAGTTCCAGTGGAAGGAGACGACTGAAACGAAACAAAAGCAGTCCCAACATTTTTGACCAATTAGCCAACAACTGTGTATTGAGTTGCAGTGACAGGTTCAGCTGGCCAGCCTATGCTCATCGCGGTCATCGAGGCCCACTACAGCTATTCAATTTGTCCGCAGACCCCACACAACGTAAGTCCACACACGTGTCTTGGTGAGGAGACGACATGGGCCGCGGGAGCAAGATGGAGAGATACAAACAGGAAATTTGTATGGGTGATCAGGAAGCCCAATGAAGAGATCAAGCTGAGAGAGTTGAGGAACATTAGTGTGGGAAATGACTGCAGGATAAACTTGAGGGCGAGTGACAGAAAGGAGAAAGAGACAGAGAGAGTCTTTGTTCAAAGTCGTGTATACTATTCACACTAAGTATGACGGAAAATTCAGTGTGTAGTGCGTTCCAACTGCACTACACTACACTGCACTACTAGTACGTGGAGCTAGAAAGAAATGCCCGGATGTATACTAGATTAAAGAAGAAGTTCTGAGTACGAGACGTGAGCTTACTGGACATACACAACCACCCTAAAATGCACTGCGGCTCTTCAGATCGTTCAACGGGTGACTGCGAGGAAGATGCTTTAAATAATTAGCAGTTGGATAAAAGAATTACAAATGATGGCGAGTGGCGTTAAGGCACAGTTAGGAAGAAAAATGCGGGAGCTCACACATGTAATGTACTCTAGAAAAGACATTTAACTCTATATTCATCACTTTAATTTGCCTTGAAGTCGGACCAGTAACGTTTTGATCAATACAGTCATGTGATGCAGAGAAGACGTATTGCTTGAGTATACTTGAAAGTAAACAGTCTGTCTGCTGGTAATTGTTAATTTAGTAGGTAGTATGTAGTACATACTGATTGAGTACGTTAGTAGGCAGTATATTAGTATGCAATTTTGAGCACAGTCGGAGAGGGATTGAGAGAAAGAAAGACGTGGAGGAGGCTGACTACCACTGCTGCTGCAGGGGTTCAGCTGGTCAGGCTTCGCAGGGACACACAGACAGAGGCCATTAGGTCCCTGGTGGGTATCTCTGCACCTGTGTGTGTGTCTGTGTGTGTGTGTGTGTGTGTGTGTGTGTGTGTGTCATGTGTTTCTAGGTCAAGTGGGTCCCTGACATCTAAGATGCGCTGCAGCAGTGACTTTCTCCTTCTGTCACTGGCTTTGTATTCTTTTAACACTTCGTCTTTTGTCTGTCCCCACCCCCTATACACACACACACACACGCACACACACACACACAGACATGTACAATTATATGTAAGCATGAACACGATTGCGCACACACACACACACACACACACACACACTTGCCACTCCTCCTCATCTCTCTTGTCTCCTCCTTGTGCTGCTAATGAATTGAAACAGTGGGGACTAAGACATGATACACAGCAGATTCCCACCGCTCCCACTAACACACACACACACACACACACACACACACACACACACACACTTTCCTAATCTGGGTCAGTGGTGCCCCTCTTGGTCACCCCTGT